TCACAAGCATATACTATAAATTTTTTAAAAAATTTCATCATGAGGGGCAAAAGAAACAAGGCATCAAAGAATATTGCCATACGAAGAGCTGGGCATGTAGCTCAGTGGTGGAATCTACTTTTTCCTATAGTTCACAGGGCCCTGGGTTCCATCCCTAGCACCAAAATAAATTTTTTTAAAAAAGAAAAATATCCATATGGTTTCTGTAATCACAAAGTAAATTCATCATTGATACAGATTGCATTTTTTCTTTTTATCACTGCCCTGCTCACATCAGTTTCAAAATTATAGCTAACATTTTTTGATACAGTGAAGTCCCGTTTTAATGGGTTTACATGGATTATTTCAGTTTCTTTTCACAACAACCCAGAGACAAGTACAATTATTATTACTATTTTCTAGATAAGGAAACTAAATGTAGAGAGATTAAGCAACTTGTCTGACATTGAGGCTGGTCAGAAGTTAAGCTGTGACTCTCAAATCTGGGTGTCAGCCTCCTGGCCAAGCACAGAGTAGGTGCTCAATGTTAATGTCAATTCAAAGAATAAATATTTGCCAACTAACATTCTACTACCATGCTCCTCTCACAGTCCATGTTTAAAATCTGTCTGGCATTTTCCCATCCGTCTTCTTGACATTAAACCATAACATTCCATAGGTGCCACATGGGGAGCCCATCTCCTGTGGCCCATTCCTCTGATCCTATCAGCATTACTGCCAACCTCCCTAAACATACTGCCTAACCCTGAGACACCCCTTGCTAGGTATATCAGTCAGAGTTTACTAGAGAAGCAGATACAACACAAGATATACAAATATATAAGAATTTACAAGATTGGCTTATAATGGCCACTCAGAGTCAAAGGGAGAAGAGTACAGAGGGTCTGTCTGAACACTGCAGATCTGAAGGATTCAGCTGAATGTTTGGAGCTCACTGCAGTGTCCTAGTGCAATGGAAGTGTGAAGCATCTATGCCAGAAGGCTGAGTGTCCGTGCTGGAAGTTGAAGAATCTGCACTGGAGGCCAGAAGATGACATCCAAAGTGAAGGCAAAGACTGGAGCTCCTCCAACAAAAGCAGACCCATCTGTCTTCATTTCCCCTTTATACTTTCTAGTCCATAAGCCATCCTAGTGTGGGTCTCCCACACCTAGGGTATGGAATTGCTGAGCCAGTTTAGTTGTGCTTCTCCTACTCAAAGTGACACAATCAGTCAACCATCACACTAGGCTTCAGCTATCCTATGCTCTTTGGTGGTTGGAGACCATTTCTCGTGGCCTTGTCTATACGGGACACTGAAAAGATTAGTCATCAAACCTACCCCAAAAGTTCCTTTCATCAACACCCACCATTTTATATATGAATAGTCTCCTGCAAGCTTATAGACTGGTGGGCCCTTATAGGCTCACACTAATGGCAAGTGCAGTTAGTGACAAACATGCTGCATATGTTTTATTTCCTCCCTTTATGAAGACCAGACAAACCTTTCGGCTTTGAACTGTCACACATTTTACTGATAACTTTTGCAGAAGAACTATTTCAAGTGATGAATGAGGTGAGCCATGATAGCCCAGAACAGGGTGAGTAGGGGCAGAAGAATGTGGTGGGTGTGAAATGGTATGTATGGAAAGGCTGTCTTCCCTACTTCAGCTCTGATCAAGGTTAGGAAAAACCCTAGAAAGGAATCCCAGTTCACATGACTGCTAGGCAAGCATTAGATGATTCCTTTCTGTCCTGTCCAAGAGTAGGCCCAGAGAAATGAACTCATCTGTTCTAGAAATCCGCCCATTAACACGGAATATACAAATTGATATGTACCTAACACTAAATGCAGTTATCTGTAATCTGACACAGAGGGTGCTTCCTAGGTTTGATTTATATTACCAAGAACACAGGTACTTTAAGGCAGTTTGTCTTATTCATGAGACATCCTCCCAATGGCCAAATGAGTTCAGAATGTTGTAGTGTATAAGTCATATATTTAACTCCTTGACTTGGAAATAATCAACTTCTGTTTCTTAATGAAGGTAAGCCAGGTAGTATGGTGGCACACACCTAAGATTGCAGCACTCTAGGAGGCCAAGGCAGGAGGATCAGAAGTTCAAGTATCCTCTAGGCAACTTAGGGAGACCTTGTCTCAAAAAACATAAAAGGGGTGGGATATAGTTCAGTACAAATGCCCTGGATTCGATCTCCAGTACCACAAAACAGCAACAACAACAAAAAACTGTACTTTCACTGCCCCAGGGATCCTGGGTTTGCTTTGCTACTTCTGGCCTTTCTTGAAAATACTGAAAATGTAGGAAAGCCACTGTGTGCCCCATTGCTGGCCCATCTGCAATATTTATCCCTACCTATCCAGAATGGTCACAGAAAGCTATTTTTAGTCACTATTTGGGATAGTTTTCTGTAAAAAATGTAAAAGCATTTTTTACAGAAAACTATTACATAATTGTTTTAGAAGAAGCATAATATATGAAGTCACTGGGGAATCTAAGTGCATTTTATCAAGATCGAATGACTGAACTTGAACTGCAGAAACAGCGTGTGGGAAGAGTAAGTTGTCTCATGGAAGGTGCACACTCAAGGATGTATTCTCTGCTTTTCCTGTAAGGATATATTCTCTGCTTTCACCTGACCACACAGTTCCAACCAAAATAGCAGATGTTGCCAAGCATTGTTTTAAATTGAATAACTAGGATTTTTAAAGTCATGTTCTTATTGGTGACTCTGAAGTCTCTTTCTCAGTCTTCTTCAGAAATAAAAACTGACTACCTATCGATTATAATGGACCCTGATGAAGTTCCCCTGGATGAGCAGTGTGACCGGCTCCCCTATGATGCCAGCAAATGGGAGTTTGCCAGGGAGAGACTCAAACTGGGTAATGTATCTGTTTAAAAGACTCATAAACCTGCCTGATATCTACTGCATGCAAAACACTATGCCTTGAAGGATGCAATGCAAACTGACCTGGGATTCTGCCACCAGCTGTCCACAAACTAGCAAGGGAGATGGACTCAGAGATAAAGAATTCTAATGGGATGCTGAAACAACAGGACAAGGTGACAAGGGAGCACTTGGGTGTTCACTCAACAGGTAGTAAATGTAGTATCTGAGCAGCAGACACTGGTCTACACTCTGGGGGTACAAAAATCTCTTCCCTCAGAGGCTCGTCTAGAGATAGGTGAAAAAGTAAGCAAAGAGGAAGGGAGAGAGTAGTTCCCATAGGAGGCTTACAAGTGCAGGCATGCTTACATAATGAAACTATTGACCAGTTAAACTTGTGGCACCCAGAACATAAATCAGGATGATGAAGAGCTGCAAAATCAAACATTTGGTAAAAGAGTTGGTACTCTTCAAGGTTGTGAACAAAAAACTCCTCTGTACAAATCCACAAATTACATCCTCTGAGTTTCCTGGGGGGTTGGGAATGTCCAAACAGAGAAGAAAGCCCTAGGAGATCCTTTAAGTTTCACTTTTGAAGAACAGAGAATTGTTTTCCAGGTGGAGCAGACAATATAAACAAGCAATGAATGTGCTTTCCCTCAGCTTACCCCCAGTTCAGACGTCACAATGCACATTAATCTCCAGCCCATGGTGCTACAAAACAATTGCAACCTCAATTACTCCTATCCAAAATGTTTGGATTGTGGCTTCTGAAAGTTTTCCACTCACTCCCGTGTATGCCAGAGTCATTAGTGGTTGGAACTAGGAAAACAGATAGAGGGTCCAGTGTTCCTGGAGCTTGTCACTCTCAGTGAAGAACTTGCTGTTCCGAATCCAATGGCCTGACCCCTGTCCCAAAATGCAAACGATACTGAAAGGGGTGATGTGAGGGAAGAGAGGGAAAAATAGCTTTTCTTGTTTTCTTCTTGGATCTCAAAATGGTTCTGCTTACACGGAGAAAGGACAACACCAGAAGCAGGTTCTGTTTGACTTGAAGAAAAACCTAGGGAGTCACTCTTAAGCTGGAGAGACAGGAGAAAGCCAGCAATGGCTGCTGACAGGGAAAAAGATCGACTAAATTTAGAGAAGGGCAGGTGGCACACTGGATGAGTTCCTTTGGCAAATCGCAATTTCATGGCAGCAAGCCCAGACCCTCAGTGACCTTGGCAGGGAACATTGACTCATTTTCCAACAATCACGAGCCATTCTCAGGCCATGTTGCTTTCCAGAATTATTAATCACAATCAAACATGCTTCATCCAGGACAGGACACGCATGTGAGCTTTCCCTCTGTCCCTTCATTTCTCCCTAGTATTACTGTGATCCACAGCACACTGAAGGAAACTGCTAACCCTTCTACCAGAATTCCCCTGGGGCCCAGAAGGTTCCATAATCCAACTTCAGGATGTTCTCCTTGTTGAAGATTTTTATTATCATTCTTTTCTGGAGTTGTCACATGTTGCAATGTGGCTGGTTTCCAGGTGAATATCTCTGATGGGTAAGAGAAAGTGAGTCATGTCTGTTGCCTTTCAATGCACAGTGTGGCTTCAATGCTCCTCTGATTAACGTGGGAGCAAAGAGGCCCAAGACTTCGTTTTATAAGCCAAATAAATGTCAGAATTTAACCTGAAGTAATTCTGGGCAAGTGAAAGTAACCAAGAGTCTGTCCAGATCGATGGGGTGAAAAGTACGATTTGAGGCACAGAGTTACACTGGGGTTGGGAATGTAGAGAAATACACAGACCAAGGGGAGATTTCAGCTGTCTCTACTCCATTGGTTACTATTATCAGCCCTAGGAAAGGAAGTCAGAATTTATAGTGGCTGATAGATAGGTACAGTTGAGTCTTGGGTCAGAGGTTATTGCTACCATTGAAATTCCTAAAATCCAGAGACAAAAGAACTCCCTCTTTTTTTTTTTCATGATCCCTCACTAACCTTGGGAGGGAATTCATTCCTATAAATTTATAATAGAAGTTAGAATGTTTGACATTGCATCTTTCTGTTGGAAAATAATTTAAAGGTGACATTACCTAATGTGAGAAATCGTACAGGGAGTCTGGAATTTGGCGAGGGTGTGGTACCTGGGCCAGTGTTGCTTCTGGAAAGAACACCCCCCTGCCCCGCACACACATACAGTGTTAGAGAAGGGTTCAGTCCATGCTGCCCCGTGCACTCCCAAGTGGCCAGGGGTCTTGGCTAGTCCAGGACATACTTGGAGGAGATTCCAGGATCCTGGCATACTATGACAATGACCTAACCCATTTCTGGTCTAGTTAGCAGCATTCCAGGCAACACAAAGGAGAGTTTCAAGGGAAAAGAAGAACAAAATGAGGTCAAGTCCACTGCAACTGGGCTCCCTGAAACTGGAAACATGGGATTAAAGAGCCCGTAATGGCTTCATGCTGTTTCATGAGGCAGCAGTCAGATTCCAGGGGTATAAATGAAAAGCCAGAAAGAAGCCAAGTGAGAATCATTGTATTCTCACTGATAGAAGCAGAGCCCCCAAACACTTGTTAAAATCAAGTGTGTTGTGACGACTGAGAGGGAGGAAGTTATGGAAAGAGAAAGGATTTCATGTTCCCTGAACTAGTAAGAGTCTTAGGACTGTGTGGAGAGATGATCTTGCTATTTTGTAGGCTCAGGACACTATTAATATGGATGGGGGAAGACAGTACCCATAAATGCTATTACCCTAAATAAAGCAGGGAATAAATAATCAACCAAAATGCACTAATTTTTACCAATCTAGATAAGCTATCAGCCAGAGCTCCTCACCCATGTGATTTCCATGTGCACTTCAGGGACCACTGGATACTTTCTAACTTATGAGTCCCCACTCTAGTCTATTTCTTGGCCCATTTTACCAGAAGAAGGAATCAGATTGCGTCTCTGCCCATGTTACATGCTCTGGGGGGAATGGTGTTTAGTAGTCCCCACAGGTGCACATTTGATCAAAGGTAAAGCATGTCATGTCACCAGTGCCCCCACCCTAAAGCAAAATAATGTCCCTATGTGACAGATGCAGAAACAGCCACACAGAAGCTGTTATAATTATGGTGCTAACTACAATGCTCCCCTATCCTAATAGATGCCTGGAATATTGGACAAGGAAAGATATTAAGCAGAGGCAAAGTGAAGATATTTTTGTCACTGAGTAGGTGTACATAAAATGATAAAGATTCTAAATGAGAAGAAAGCAGGAAATCTTTATTACAAACTGTATAAGAAACTTTAAAATAACATACATATATATATATATATATTCCTCCTTCGGGGGAAGAGATTGGAGTATGAGTAAGAAAGGGAAGAAGGAAGGTTAATTATGTGAAGGTGCATTATCGTAGCAGTCTAACAAAGAGAACCTGATTGGAAAAGAAGGTCTTGTGTCAAATTAACATTCTGTCAAGATTTACTTTTTTGGGGGGTGGGGGTACCAGGGATCAAACTCAGGACCTTGTGTTTGCAAGGCAGGTGGGGGCACCACTGAGCTAAATCCCCAGGCCAAGATTTACTTTTGATCAGTGGTGTTTTGTTGTTTATATTTTTTTCCCCCTATGAGTGCCAAAAAAAGAGTGATTTCTTTGGCTCACTCTTCTTTTAGCATATTATTGCTGGAGATGGACTGTTTCTCCTAGTTCTATTTAGCTCTCAGTTTCCTGATGGTCAAAAACTATATGAAAGGGAAGGGAGGTATTGCAGAGGTGCCCTTCCCAGGGATATGATTCTCCTATCACCATTCCACAGACTCCCAGGCCCCTCTAGTTACCTATGACTGTATGAGAGTTTCTCTGGGCATCTGGTAAATTCCAAAATGCTGCTCTCTGTCCTGCACTAACCATATATGGGCCTTTTCTATACCAAGCACTGGGCAAGGTCTGAGAAAGATTCTAACAGTATCCTTACCCCTGAGTCAATTTGGCTTGTCCAAGGTGGGGGAGGCAGAAACATACTAATAGCTATTCTATCGTAACATTTGAGTAGTATGAGAGAAATATTGCTTTCTTATTGCATTTGGCAGCCACCTCTCTGAGGTTGAAACAAATCACTACCAGTGGTTATGGGCTCAAGCACTGAACCATGAGGATCATTACTGATCATACAATCATAGAATACTTGCCAGACAATATTCTGCCTGGAAAGGAAATCTGAAAAATGACAGCGTTTATTTCTTAAGTTACAAGACATTATAACCCAGTGTAGTAACCACTATTCTTGATTTCCCTCTTTTTGCTGAAGACAGAATAGAAGAAATGACTTTAAGTGACAAGAAAAGAGACTTAGGTCAAATAGAGATGTCTACTTGGTGATGTTATTGAACAATGGAGAGACCACCCAAGCTCCCCTCTGGGAAGACTCTGTAGATAGGAAACTGGCCATTTACCTTTACTGAAGGCCTTTTAGGGATGTGGGGACCTCAGAGGTGGAGGAAAGAGAGGAAGAGTCCCCAGAAAAATGTCCCTTATTATGTCTCCTTTAGGGTCAGTTAATCAGAGATTACATTCAAAACTACATGCCTCACACAACACATAGGAAAAGGCATTTCCTTCCTGAAGAAAGACTTAAACTCATCCTGCTGGCTTGACAAACAAATCAATGCCTTCTTTTCATTTCAGGCAAATCACTGGGAAGAGGAGCTTTTGGGAAAGTGGTTCAAGCATCCGCATTTGGCATTAAGAAGTCACCCACTTGCCGGACTGTGGCTGTGAAAATGCTGAAAGGTATGTATACCAACTTGTCTGTCCGCTGACCTGTAACCTTCATGCAGTCCCTAAATGTTGGTGTGAGTCAAATATAGCCCAGGAATGGTTGTTTCTGTTCTGGCCACATCACTGCTCTTCAAGGCCACACTAGCTCAGAGCAACCTTGTTGATGGAACACAACCCAGAACTTTTCATGGAAAATTATCTTTGTCACCACACGGTCTTTTTCTTCTCAAATCTCAGATGAGACTAGCAGGGACTGGCACCACTGTAACATATGTTCAAAATGTTGGCTTGATCCATTGGAACAGTGTAATGGAAACAGAGCTGCACATCACAAACAACAGGTCTAGCTTGAGCTCTCTCTGACCATAAAAACAGAACTTACTTGATCAGAAATTTAAACTGTTTCATGCTGGCAAGCCCTAACCATAAAACATTTCCTTTTTCGAAATTAAAAATTGAATTGTATCTTTCTCATATAAAAGATACAGCTCTAAAACACTGGGAGGGCAAGCCAAATCACACTCCGATTTATCACTACCACCATAACACAGATTGAAAAGGAAATTCAGTGAAAAGCATATAAACTAAACATCTCAAACAGTCATAGTATTTAAAGTGTAGAAATATAACTCGCATGGTAGCACAAGCCTATGATCCCATTAATTTGGGAGGCTTAGTCAGGAAAATCATAAGTTTGAGCCCAGCCTGGGTAACTTAATGACTTAGAGACCCCATCTCAAAGTTTTAAAAAGGGGGGTTGGGGCTGGAAGGCTCTGGGTTTAATCCCCGGTACCATAAAAAATAGTAAGTGTAGAAATACTCCATTTCTTTATTTGTGATGAAATTTTGTTACCTCAGTTTGCTTTAAAATTCCCAAACCATAAAGAAACAGGACTGAAAAGAGCAGTTTGTAGCTTTCCAAAGTCCCTAAGATGTTCTCAGAGGAATTTTTTTTGAGGGGGTGGGCACAACCAGGGATAGAACTCAGAACCTTGTGCTTGCAAGGCAGGTGTGGTGCCACTGAGCTAAATCCCCAGTCCTGTCAGGGGATTTTGAGCCCTAGAAGCTATGTGTCCAACCAATGAGATATCAGGAGAGGACACTTCTAAGGCTTCCCTCCTCTTCCACCACTCACTCCACCTCAGAAGGTTGCCCTCGTCAGGCAGGATGAACAGCAGTACCAAATCTAAGCCAGGAGAAAAAAGTACAGAACACTAGAATGTCTCTAGTTTAGAACAATTCTTCATGCATTTTATAAAAAACAAAAAGAGAGGAGTTTGAAGGTTCCCAAACACAAGGCAATGCTGAAGGAGATGGAAATGCAAAGTACCCTGATTGGATCATTAGGCATTGTACACATGTGCTCAACAGCACCTTTTTCCGTGTTAAATGGGCATAAATGCTCAGAGGGACTGAGGCGTTTGAAGGGAACAAAGATCTTTTTGAAAGGACCAGAGACTCTCTTCAGTAGAATATAGAAAGTATGTGTGTAATATCTTTAGTAGTACATTTTTAAACCCTCAGCATTGATTGAAAAAGATTGCCAAATCATTCACTTTTATAAAATTCCTTTATATTTATTCCTTTATATTTATTCCTTTATTCTTGCTTAAATTGATTGGCCATATGTCTTAGGGAGAAACAGAAAAGGCAGAATGTCAAATAAAGGCCAGAAAGTCAAATGCTCTTTCAAAGTGCCTCTGAGAAGAACCTGAACCTTTTTAGGCCTTACACCCATGTCTGAAATGAGACATGTAACCATGTTGTTTATTTATCCAAAAATATCTGTTGAGCATCTACTGTGAGTCAACTCTTTCCCTACTGAGAGGTTTCTGAAGTTTACCTGGTTATTATTAAAAAATGATTTGTGCTGATGAAATGCCATGTCAATATCCACACTGTTATATGACATAGCTTTAACCCACCTCCAGGACCTGACCCTATAGAAATATTTGCATATGTGCACCAAGATGACACACAGACTTTCTACTATAGCATTGTTTGTCACAGCAAAAAACGGTATATGGTCTATCAGGAACACCATTAATAAGTTAAAACTAATAGAAACAAACTGATTTATTAAAAGATGGGAAAAGACAAATTTTAAAAATACATACAAATGATTAGATTTATGTAAACCCTCAAAATGTGACTTTTCTGGGTATTTTCAAAAGCATTAAAAGGGTCTAAGCCCCAAACTATTAACAGGGGTCACTTTTAGGACCTCTAAGGTAAGTGGGATGGAAGAACTTAATATTTGTTACTCTGAACATTTTACTCCAAAACCTTTTTGTTTTGTTTGTGGTTTTGTGCTGGGCATTGAACCCAGGACCTTATGTATACTAAAACCACATTCTATCACCAAGCTATCCATAACTTTTAATTTCAGCTCATATTGTTAGACTGTTTTACAGCAACATGACTTGACTTTTCTATTTCTAAAAAATGCAATTTAAAAATTTTCTTAGAAATTAACCAATAAAAATAAACAGGACAAATTCAACTTAGGCTTTAGATTTTGTTAATTCTTAGACTGATTTTGCATATCTGTGAATGAAGTTGAAGTCAATTGTCTTCATAACTCGGGATAACCCTGTAAACACCAGGAAAGAAAGGGTTAAAGGAGAAAATACCACATTGCAAAGATGTTTATAGAAGCAGCCATCCTGCCCTTGCAGGTCCCTTGTGCTCCTTCTTGGTGACTCCCTAAGCAGGGAGAAAGAGGGGAAATGAGGGTGCTTGCCCTGCTTGGAGAATTCTTGCTGCACCTGTTTCTGCTGGAAGGGAAGACTTCAGAAGAAACTGTCACTAGGTATCCAGCTCTGAGTCAACGCACTGCTAAACAAAACAAGGTCCACCAACAGGAAATGTCTAATGACTAACATCATCACCACACTGGGCCTCACTGTAATCAAAAGAATGTTAGTTCAGGAGGGTAGGAGTAATGAAAATAGTCTGGAAGCTTGGCCTCTTCTGCAGAATTTGGGGAAACAATCATTAGAAGCAATCATTTCACTATTGACAAACAAGGAGGGCAGGAATGTCCTCTCTGTGGAAGGAGCCCATTGTCCTGTCACCCTGACTCTTCCTTGCTTCTCACACAGAGGGAGCTACAGCCAGTGAATACAAAGCTTTGATGACTGAGCTCAAGATCTTGACCCACATTGGACACCATCTCAATGTGGTTAATCTGCTGGGAGCCTGCACCAAGCAAGGAGGTAAAGGAGAAGGGGGCCTACTCCGTCTCTCATGCACATGCCCAGAGAAGAGTTCTCTGATACCCACCTCTTTCTCTCCACCCCTGTTCTTCCTCACCTCTGAGAAAAATAGTATCTCAATAGCTCGAGAAACATGTATGGAAGGATGGAATATCTTGGAAATGCCTTCCCAGTAAGGTTCAAGATTCAGAAGAGACTGACTACCTTTTAGATCTCTCCAGAGGCTCTAGGTGAATTGGAGGGCATTTTTCTCTTATGATGACTTTAAGGACATGTGACTAAAAGTGAAAAAGTTTGCACCTTCCTTGAACTTTCACATATGAATCACTACTGATGAATTCCTAGGAGGAGGTAATGTGTGAGACAAAGGGCCCTTCTCTTCACATCCACCATGCAGACAGATCTTACCCCTTGGGACAAGGGACAGGAATAGGGCTGTGCCTTATTATTGAGGCTCTAGCTTGTTCTTGCAAACCTTTCTTTTCTCTATAGCAAAATTAGTGCTTGACTGTTGACATACAAATATCTCCAACACTTCAACAAAGGAAGTAGGAGTGAAGGGGAGTTAAGCAAGACCAACGTGCCAGGAATGGTAGGTTAAAGAGAAATTAAGGGTTAGGGAGGCCAGAAATACAATTGTAGTAACCCAGGTAGAATCCCATGGCTCTTCCATTTATCCTTTAATAAGCTTTTCTAAAGTTCCTTCTGTAGCAGCCTCATTCTGTTTGCTGCAGTGCAGCACATGTAACACCACTAAGGTTAATGAGATCACCCACCTTTAGTTGGGTATCAGCATGGAAGCCCTTCCTGGGGAAGAGGACTGCTGTACTCTGGGCAGGCAAGGAGATTGAACCTCCTCATTAGGGAAGTTCAAAAACTCTGGAAGCAGCTTCTGTTCTGAAACCCTGAGAGAAGAGAAGGATGCCCAACAGACAGTTAAAACTCAGCAAAGTCCTGGGGGTGACAAAAATTCACTCAACAGGTACAGAGTTCCTACCTCAGTGAACCTCCAAGAAGTAGCAGAGAGCCAGAGTTTTTTTCACAGAGGCAGAGTGTAGGCTCCCAGCAAGCTGCCTGCTGGAACAGCCCCGGGTCATTTCCGCTTTGAGCCGGAAGTGGTCCTTTTGATCACGGGGGAGTATGGAGCAGGGGAAGGTGTTCAGGATACCACCTGGGCCCACGATGCAGGTGGACTTGATTCCAACAGCTGTCTTCCATTGAAACTGACTATGACCCTGTTGGCTTAAAATGCTATTACCTATTTCTTATCCCTATTATTTAAGAGTCTCGTGCTCTACCAACTGAGTTAGCTGGGTGTCCCTATTATTTAAAATAGTTGGGACAAGAAATAAAAAGAATATTTATTTTGTAACATGAAATTCAAATTTCTGTGTTCATAAAATTTTGTCGGAGCACCGTCATATTCTTTGGTTGTATTAACAAGGGCTGTTTCAAGACTACAAGGACAAGATTGAATAGTTGGCTGGCCTGCAAACCCTAAAAAATTTACTACCTCATTTCTTTACAAAAAGTTTGCTGTAAAGCAAAGCTTTACTGCCTCTCACAAGCCCTAAGGCAAATTGTATAGGTACTCCCTGGCAGCCTTGTCTCTCGGGAGACAGGCTAAGTAACCTGTTTTCCACCTGAGAGAGAGAAAGAAGCTGTTAAGTAATTCAGAGGTCCTTCCTACCAGGACCTGCCTAAAGGGGCACAGGATGACTGGGTTTTTGCCTCTCTCCTGTGGAAAGTTATTTCTTTGTTTCTTCTTTCTTCTGTTCCTACCCTGACCCTCTCCCACCTACTTTCATTTTCTATTTCTATTGTATTTTTTAAAATCCTTTCTACTAAACTGAAAAAAAAAAATCACCACATTTGCAGTCTCTCATCCCTAGGTTGCACTCCAAGGCTCTATTAATATAAAGACAATTTTATATTAGGCTAGCTGACTTGGCGTGACTGAGTATGTGCTGGTTTTTGGCTGCAGGGCCTCTGATGGTGATTGTTGAATACTGCAAATATGGGAATCTATCCAACTACCTCAAGAGCAAACGTGACTTATTCTTTCTCAATAAGGTAAGGATTTTAAAGTGGAGTTGGTTTATGTTTTGTTTGTTTTGAGAGCAGTGGGTTGCCATTTAGGCTATAGCACCATAAAAAAGGAGAAAACTATATCAATCATTCTGTTAATAGTTAGACTTAAAACTGAATTGCTGTTCTTTCTTTGTGTTTTCCTTCAGTGGTAATCTGTGGTACCTTTTTATGAATAGCTCAGGGACTTATTTAATCCTAGTGTATGCACTAATAATTGAGGGCTAAATTTATTAGCCAACTATCTAAGTACCTATTGAATCATCTTGGTAGCTCTCTCTCTCTCTCTTTCCTTCTCTCCCTCCCTCTCTCTCCATCTCTCATAAATCACTTGTTTCAAGAAAGAAGATGTTACCAGACATAGTTGTCTTCATTTATTAGGAAAATTAAGGACATAATAAACTGAGTGATCTGTACAGACACTAGTGATAGGACCAGAGCTGGAAATCATTTTGTTTACTTCCTGTTGTCCTTTCTCCCTCTCCACACCCTCATCACCTGTATCATCCTTAACTGACTCCAAATCAGCCTTATCCACTAAATAAAAGCTATGTAATAGAAGGAAAACCTAGGGGGTTGTGGATGCAGTTTATTGGTAGAGCACTTGCCTAGCAGGTGAAAGCCCTATATTCTATTCCTAGCACCAACAAAAACAAAACAAAAATACTTGTGTCCAAGATCTGAGGACAATTAATATTTTGTATTGTGACGTGGCACCAATGCTGTGTTTTTCTCTGAGCAAAAATCTGGGAGCCATTGATTTAATATTATCAGCAAGTAACCTGCAATAATAGTGATGAAAATGTGTTACACAATCAGACTTCCTGGATTTGAATCCTGTGTCTTCCTCTTACAAAATCTGGTATATTGGGCAAGTTAATCTCAAGTTTTAGTTCTTTCAAGTATTAAACAAAGCTAGCTAATACTAGAACCCAGGTGATAGAGTTGTTGGAAGATTCAAAATCTCTCGGTTAAGCACTCAGTAAATGTAATCATCATTGACCCAGTGAGACATAAAGATTGGGTATGGACTGGGGGTGTAGCTAAGTGGCAGTGAGCTTGTTAGGGAATTGATCATGTTAAAGTATGCTGTGACGCTGCCTCACAGGCTGCATTCTCCTGGTACATCTTGGCTCCTAAAATGACCTCATGCCCTTATCTCTGGTTTCCCTTCCCCGCAAGGCCACAGTGGTCCAGGAAAGTTGAAACCTGTGTCTGCAGGACTGGGCCCATAAAAGCAATCTGGCCTGTGATAGGTTAAAAGTAACTCACTCCTCATAAATAAGCAATAGCTCACCCCAAAACTGATAAAAGGACCTTCCTTTGTTCTCTTCTCTCCTTCTGCTTCTTCTTCCTCCTCTCTCTCTCTCTCTCTCTCTCTCTCTCTCTCTCTGCCTTCCTGCCTCCTGCTCGCCTCCCTACAATAAAGATCTCCTGCCGGACCTCTCGGTGCGTGAGTGGCCTAATTGGGAAGGGGCACCCGAAAGGGCACGCGAACCCCCTTTCAGAGCTTCCCTGCATGTATGCAGCTTTGAGTTGGATACTCAGTACTGCTGGGGAGAAAAAAAAGGAAGGGAAAGGATTGCTTGATTCCAACTTAATGCCACTGCTCTGTACAGTGGATGAAATTTCAGATATCAAGGAATGATGATGTCATACTGGCAAGAGTCTTGGCACACAAACAAGGACTACTGGACATAGCCAGGTGGTGACACATGTCTACAGTCCCATGTAGTTAAGAGATTGAGATGGGAGCATTATTTGAGTCCAGGAGTTCAAGGCCAGTCTGGGCAAAATAGTGAGACCCTGTCTCCACAACAAAAATAAACAAACAAACAAACCAACCAAACACCTACTAGACAGTTGGCCCATTATCACATCCCTAAACTTCCATCTAACTGCAGACACAGGTATCTTGGTTGAACAGACTGGCAATGTGAACTCAAGAACATAGTTTCCCCAGTTTCAAAGCAGGCCCTCTAATCTTTAGAATCTTGATGTTGAAAGCTGTCTTTGTGATCAGCTAGTGATCAGCAGTGGCAGACCTATGGCAAAGGTGCCTCAGATAGCTGTTTGTTATCACTGAAAGCTCTAAAAGGTTTTCCCATCACTGATTCATATTTATACTACTTTCACAGATCGTGTAGGTGTTCAGAGAAGTCAAGTGATTTGTTTAAAAATGAAATTACCATAATGTGAAACCAGGGAAAAAGACCTAGGTCTCTTGTTTCATTTCGTTTTTGTAGTACTAGGGTTGGAATCCAGGGCATGGCACATCCTAGGCAAGCACTCTGCCACTGAGCTACCTCCCCAGCCCAGACCCAGGTCTCTTGACTTGCTTTTCAGTGTTTTTTTGGGAACCACACTGGATAAGGTAGAAACAAACGAACAAAAAAACATCAGAAAAAGAGGACAGTTGTACCACGGGCTTGAAGCAGTGTAAATTCCTTCAGGTCCTAGAGTCCTGGACTAAGTTCAGAAAGAGACAAGCCAAAGGAACACCCCAGAGACCTGAGCAGGATGGAACATTTGGGTTCATGCATTCTTTGTTTTGAAGAGTGTGCTTCCTTCTCTGGCTATATTTGATGATTCTCTTCCTTGTACAAGTTGATGAAACTGTGTTTTCACAGAAAACCCATGGCTGTCTTTCACTTTTAGAACCTAAAGGAATATAGAAGAGATGAAAGAAGTATAAAACCAAATGGCTAAAATGAAAATAGAATATATTCTTTTTCAAATAAATTTGCTAGGATCCTTAAATATTATTTGTGATAAATTTACTATTCTGCCAGTGTTCCTGAAATCTTTATTTAACAGAGGTGGTTAGTGATAAGCAAAGCTGAATATACCATTGATTAGGGGTTAGCAAGGGAAGGAGGGAGTTCGGTGACATGTTCCAGGGTACAGCTCCTGGGAGGTGTGATGAAAAAGAAGCCCAGAGAGTTTTAGGTGTGCTGAGGCCTTAATGAGTGTATGCGTGTATGGGGGGAATCTTTCCTCCCCACACTGTTGCCAGCAAGTTCCCTTCTGCCTTCTACTGTGGGAAGGGGCTTGAGGAAAACAACATTCCAGTCTCCAGCTGAGCAGAACCGAGTCTACTGCCTCATGGAGACACAATAACAATTATATTCTTTACCTGCTTGCAGGAAAGGGTGGTGGCCTGAGCTGAGAGCAGTGTATATCCCCTTCATGCTAAAATCCTGGACTGGATGTAGGAAGTGCTAAGCCAGCAGAACACCCCAGGGACTTGGCAGGATGGGGTGCTCATGTGGCGGCTGTTGTTAGCTCTGGGCCTGCCTCCCTCCTGCCACAGTAGAAGGTCTCTTTTTAGAAGCAGGAGCACTGCTCCCCTCTGTTCCCCCTGGGTTTGGTAGGGCTGTCTGTCCTGAGGCTTCCACTCTGCCCTCTGCTTGCTCCTACTGTGCCCTCCGGTGGAGGGATTGCTTCTGCTTTGTGACATTTCTAGAAAAGTCAAGGAAAGACGTGGAGGCTGATTGATGCTAGCACTGCTGTTGTGCAGGTGAACAAGGGGCTCCACTGTACTCCAGGCCCTCTCAGCCCCTGTGTCAGAATTGTGGTCTAGCAGAATCAGAGCTAGGTGTGGGGTCCAGTCCTAAAGATACTGGATGTGCTTGCAAAGTTTCTAAGATCACATTTACCTGATGAATAACTAAAGGCAATAAACATCTTTTCTCATTCCACATGAACACCCAGAACCTATCTCTTTTGCTGTGAGATGTAAAATAGGATAAAGCTTTTCAGGTGAGGAAAATGAAACCCAGAAAAGAAAGGTGATTTGCTTAAGATCACATAAGTACTAGAAGACCCAAGGTACATACCAGAATGTGGCTCGCCAATCCAGGATGGAAGGCCTTGTCTAATTTTGTTAGGATCAACCTGTGTCAATTTTAGTGGAAGAGAGAGAGGAAAAAAAAAAAAATTTCTGGTTCTTTCCTCCTCCAAAGAAACCAGATAAATCAGTAATTGTAGCCTTCTCTTGTAACCCCCTGCAGGAACCACAAAGTAAAGTCCCAGCTGCACTGGGGATCTCTTTCTGAATAGAACCTGAAGATTAAAGATTCATGTCATCTTTCACAAGGTGGCCTATGTGATAGAGAGTAGTTAAGAACACAGACTTAGTTGGCCAAATCTGGGTTCAAGCTTTGCCATTTACTCTCTGCATCTGACTTTGACTACTTAAATTCTCTGAGCCCTTTTCTCTGTTTAAGAACCAGTTCATAGAATTGTTGGGAAGATTCTAGAGGAAGCATTCAGAGCCTACCACTACTACTGTTAACCTTCTGTGTGGCCTGAAATGATTCTAGAAGCCCAGATAAGAGCAGTGTAATCTCCACAACCCCAGAAGTATCCAGGTGCCGGGCTGCCATTGGTACCTAGCTTCTAATTCAGAATCTGTTTTGTATAACGATACTGTCCAAGTCAGAACACTGCCCACTCAAGGGACCATGTCTCCATTCCCGTGCCAGGCTCCCTTTCACTTATGTCCTCCTTGGTCTGTTCTAAGGATGCAGCATTACAAACAGAGCCTAAGAAAGAAAAACCTGAGCCAGGCCTGGAACAGGACGAGAAGCCCAGACTAGACAGTGTCACCAGCAGTGAGAGCTTTGCGAGCTCCGGGTTCCAGGAAGATAAAAGTCTGAGTGATGTGGAGGAAGAGGAGGGTAGGTATTAATTCCTTCCTGTCCTACAGTCTGGGATATTTTTATAACACACTGTGCATCTCAGACATTTTTTTCTTATTTATCACCCTAATAAACATCCGTGGGAGACTTGAAGAGTAATGTCCTGGGGAGATAAGATTTGAATTAAGATTATTTACAGAGTTACTAATTTTGACAGGGAACTGTGTGTTGTCACCCTTGTGCCTTTTTGTCTTGAGGTCATCCCCCTCCCCTATGCTTGGATCCAATGGGCGAGAGGCCTGGAAAAACCTCTGCTGTTCCTTTTGAGACTCCAATGGTCTTGCAGATGAATTCTGATCCATTTGTTGGTTTGTTTTATGTTTTGCTAACATTGTTCCAATAAACTGGGATTTGGAGGAATAATAAGAGCCACTACAAACAGTGATGATTCTAATGCTTTGCAGATTCTGACGATTTCTACAGGCAGCCCATCACCATGGAAGATCTAATTTCTTACAGTTTTCAAGTGGCCAGAGGCATGGAGTTTTTGTCTTCCAGAAAGGTCAGATTATCTCTTTACTATTTTTCTTCTTTAAAAAAAAAAAAAATCAAGGATAAGGAGTGGTTTTAAAAAATATTTTTGTTTTCTATTTTGTAACATTTATTTTTAACTGATACATTAAAACGAGTTGTCCATGTTAATGAAGTACCATGTGATGTTCCCATACGTGTATATATTGCATAATGTTTAAATTAGGTTTATATACATATTCATTTTCTCAAATATTTATCATTTCTGTATGGTAAAAACTTTCAAAATCCTTTCCTTTACTGTTTTTCTTCTTTGCCATACCTAGACCTACACTTCTGCTATAAATCCACGTCTCCTAGTAGTTGGATATACCCATGTCTTTAAATGTAGAATAAACACCACCACGAGTGCCTTATGATGAACTCAGGGTACTAGCAAGTAGGACTTAATTCTAGGTGAGAATCTCACCAGGATTGGATTAGATAGATCTGGCAACCGTTTTCTGCAGTAAGTACCCTCTGACGTGTTTTAAAACTGTCCAGATTGGGACCACGGATTTAGCTCAGTGGCACTGCACTTGCTTTGCAAGCTCAAGGTCCTAAATTCCACCCCTAGTACCAAAAAATAAATAAATAAAATAAATAAAATGTCCAGAATCTAAAATAGCATGACTTCACAGGAGAGTGATAAGTACATGCCCATGGGACCCTCTCACAAAACCCCTGCTGACTGGAGATCTGATATCTGCCCCTTAAGAGGGCGTAGGGAAGTTTTGCTCAATGGTGAAACTCAGACTGCCAACTTGGTTGACCAGGATACCATCTGTAGAACAGTAGCCAGTGGACTCAGAGGATTTCTTAACTTGGGGTCTCAAGGTACCTGTATTTGTAAAGAAGCGCTTTGTGTTTATGGTAACTCCATGCACGATGGAAGTCACTTCCTTTGCTGCATATGAAATAGATCCTCAAATTAAGAATAATGACACCGAGGAGGTGCAGGAAATTAGTTGGTTAGATTAAGGAAGTATGTTGATTATGCAACTGTTTTATTATAGTGCATTCACCGAGACCTGGCAGCACGAAACATCCTTTTATCTGAGAACAATGTGGTGAAGATTTGTGATTTTGGTCTGGCCCGGGATATTTACAAGAACCCCGATTATGTGAGAAAAGGAGATGTAAGTCAGCTCGATATTAATTTGATTTATTTATACCCTATCATTTTAAGCCACAGCCAGAAACCCTTGGTAAATATTTATACTTCGTTGGATGTAGTCCCCCAAAACTGACATGAAGACAAGCAATCCGGATAAATTTCTAGCAGAAAGCCCTCACATTGGGCTCAGAAAGGCCATTACCTTCTGGATCTGTTTTTCTCTAAATCCCTGGCCTTCAGGCAGTGCAGCCTGTGACTTGCTAGCCTGACACTATTTGGTACAGCCTGGTGAGACCATATCATCCCTCGCATTGGACTCCTGTGGGAGTTTATGTGCCACTGAAATGAACAGCCTGGACTCTGTCCTTCACATAAACCCGGATGATTGATTGAGCAGGTGTATGTACCTCCAGAAAGGGTGGGGAGGGAAGGAAATTATCTTGCTGGGAAGGAAATTGTTTACCTCTGAGTGGGCCTTCCTTTTCTAGCATCTTCCTGCTGGCTCACGCTGGCCTCTCTTCCCCATTTGTTTTTGAACATAGTGTTATTTGTCACTTAGTGGGTGACCTCCTGTGTCCTCTCTTCTTTGACCTGTACCCTGAGGCATCAATTTGTGTCTGAGGTCTGTTGCACAGCACTACTTCTCAAACTTTACTGAACATGCTCATCACCTAGACATCTCGCTGAATTGCAGTTTGCTGGTCCTACCCTCAGCCTCCCTGATTCAGTAAGTCTTGTCTGAGACCTAAGAAGCTGAATTTGGAATAAGTCTAGGCAATGCTGACATAGCTGCCCAAGACCATACTTTGAGAACCACTGTTCCACAGTCATTTTTTTATTAAAGGGGGTAAAAGCCCACAAAACTTTCTTGGAGCCCTGGTTTACACAGATGGCATCTACCCATTTCAGTCTGTCCCCCTTTTCTGTCCATTTGTGTCTCTTTCAATTACTCCCCACCCCCTCTTTTTTCTTCTATGTCTTTCTGTTATACCATACTTCCTGCCAACCCCTATCCCAACACCCAGGTGAACTCACTGAGATTCCTGCTATGTAGAGAAGTAAAATTTGGTTGAAAACCAACGCTACATTCTTCTAAGTACTAAACTCTTAAACATGCTCAAATACTAAATCACCTTTCTCCTTTCAATGGCTTTGCCTGCCCTACTCAAATGTGGTAGGGGTGGGGGTAATGGGGAAGGAACTCAGGGCTTCCTATGCTAAGCATGTGTTCTCCCATGAAGTTACACCCTCTTCCCCCTCATCAGTGACTTAAAATCCTGTCTTCTATGCCTAGGAATAACCTTCAAAATTCTCCTTGGAAAAGTCCTATGAAGTTACCACCAATTTTCAGATGTCTACTAACTCAGGTCACTCCCAGACTCTAAGTGTTTCTGTGGAGTTTAGGCTTTTTTGAAGGGAAGGTTTCTCTCTGAGCCATGGAGTTAGGATGTGCTGGGTACTCTGGAGGGGCATGGTAACCATGCATTGCCACCAAAGGGTCAGTGTGGTATATAGTACCCTCCTTTCATATAATGCTGCATGCTGTAGGAGTTGCCTGGGGTTAGGAAACTGCAACTGCTCTAGGAAATCACTCTGGGCCAGGTGTCATGTGTGTATGTGTGTGGTGGTGGGGGGGGGGGATAGGCCTGGGGTTGGATGTGCTTTGTTTTTGGATGTGCTCAAGGTCCCTTTGCCCTCTTCTAGACTCGACTTCCTTTGAAATGGATGGCTCCTGAATCCATCTTTGACAAAATCTACAGCACAAAGAGTGATGTGTGGTCCTATGGAGTGTTGCTGTGGGAAATCTTCTCCCTAGGTAAATTTGAGGGAGGGAAGAGATCAGACAGCCCCAAGGTAAATGCCTGCTTCTTATATTAGCACATGAGAAAAGCCCTGCGTGCTGGTCTGAGCAGGTGAACCATAAAGAATGCTGATTGTGTTGATCCTGCATGTAGCACTGTCCACTGTAGGTTTCTAGAAGCCTTGCCCAAGGCCCAACGTGAATAGTTGTGCACACAGCAGCCCACATCTGCTCATAGACACATAGCCTGGCACACAGTATGTGAGTCCTCCCATACCCAAGGTCTAGTCAAGAGTCTTCTGGGCTTTGCCAAAAATTTGACTTTTACAGCAAATAAAAGTCATCTAGTAACATCCCCGATTTCCTGTAATGTGTAAAAATCATTCCCCTGCTTTCGATGACAGACACCTGTTGCTTCCAGTCTTTGAAAGCAGCTTGGCAGACACAATGGCCCTACAATGACACAGTGCCAGCATGCACATCTCCCAGCTGCTTCCTACCAGCAGCAATTACTAGAAAGAGCAGATGAGCACAAACTGAGATTAGTAGGTACCAGTGCTGGAACACAGTGGATTGGGAGCCCCCCCCCCAATCAGGAACAACCCTAAAAGGATTAGTCAGCAGGGAAATTTGAGCTAGTCAGGCTGGCAAAGGGCAAAATATAGGCCTTCTAGTCCCCTTAGCTCTGCAGGATTCTGAACACAGGTACCTCCCACCCCACATCATTTAGCCTCGTCCTGGATGGAGCCCAAGGTCCCCCTTCCCTTAGGCCTGTTATAATTACTAGTCCCCAGTGCTCCAAGAATTGAAAATATCCTCACTGAGGTAGGAGTGATGCACAGATAGCATAGCCCCAGTCCTTTTAGCTTTATTTTATATTTTATTTTTTGCAGTATTGAAGGCTCAAGCCCATGGGCACTCTACCCCTGAGGTATATCCCCAGGCACCCCCTTTTTCTACTTTTAGACAGAATCTCACTAAAGTTGCTCAGGTCGGACCAAACTTCCGATCCTCTTCTCTTCCCTTGGCCTCCTAGAGAGCTGGGATTATAAATGTGTACCACTATGCACTGCTTCCATTGGGCTTTTAAAAAGACAATTGTTAACCCAAGTAATGACTCTCTAATGATAGGATTTTTTTAGAATTCCTTGTAGGGACAGGGTGAGGACCCTTTAGATTGCCCCTTTACCTGACCAAACAGACAGGAGTGACTTTAGGAATGACCTTTGGTCATTAGAGACCCAGCACCACAGGACCAACAATCCAAGTGTGCATCCCTAGCAAGGACCCACTGAGCTCCTCTTCGTGTTGTACCTTTGAGGTCCAATTTGGGCACTGGGGATTTACTACTAAAACATTACTTTAAGGGAAGGAAAGAAACAGTGAATTGTGCCCATACGGTCTTTTGCACCCTAAAATCATGACATGCCTGTCTTTTCCCATACTGTCCCCCACAGGTGGGTCTCCGTACCCAGGAGTACAGATGGACGAGGACTTCTGCAGTCGTCTGAAGGAAGGCATGAGGATGAAAGCCCCTGAGTATGCAACCCCGGAAATGTGAGCCTGTGTTCCTTCCTTCTCACTCAGCTTTTTCCCTCCAGATTATCTCCCAGGGGTCGGGTTTGTTGACTTTTGAACACATCTTGAAAGATGCAGACAGCTCTCTTTTCTCCAGGGATTCCATCCTCACCAGTTGGGCCCAGCTGTGCTGGGAGTGTTTTCCTGGAGTGGGATGTGTTGTCCTTGCTCTATCCCTACCTGTTTCCTCTGTTGATCACTGACAGGACTTTTCAAGGCCTCCAGCTGGGAACTAAAGTGAGAAGGTCAGGGTCTAAATCTGAAACAATGAATAGACCACCCAGGAACTGAATGTAAAGCCTTGGCCTCCCTCCCCAAGGGTGAGTCTAGTGAGCTAAGCCACGCCAGGGCTGAGGTCTGGCAGTGCTGTTAACCAGTGTTCCAGCCATACTACCTGGTCTTCTGGACTGCAGGGGAGGAAATGCAGGAGGGGCACAGGGGGATTTCCTGACTGGAGCTGTAATAATACTCTACAGAAGATTACATGGGCAGTGATTTTAGGGTCCTTTAGAAATAGGCCCAGCTGCTCTCTGGAAATGCCTGAACCAGACAACGTTTTCAGATGCCTTCCTGCTATGCTAGTGACTCTGGGAAGACAACAGGCTCCATGTGAAGGCCTTCATTATTGAATTGTACTTGCTCACCTCTCTTGGGCAGTCTCTTCCCGAGGCTTTGTGCATGTTTTGCACTTTGAGGCCTGAGCAAGAATGTGATGACACTTGCAGTTCTGTGGAGCTGCTGACAAGGACTTGGGCCTCTCTGAGGCGGCACCACCTTTCCTGATCTGGTGAGCAGCCCTCCCCATCCCACCCACGCAATGGGGTCCTCTGGATTCCGGGATGGCCTTAAGGGAAGAGTCAGAGGCAGTGAAGGAAGTGTGTGCTTGGCCCAAGGTCACAATCTCTTTCCTTCAGCATCTCAAGACAAAGCTAGGTCAGATCCAGGATGGGTACTGGATGTGTGGGAGAGAGGACTCGGGCATGAAGGCAGGGCCAAGGACAGCCCCAGTGCAGGAAGAATAGGGGAATGCTTTTGTCTGTCTTGCATGGTGACCTCTTCAGGAAAGCACAGGAAGCTTGTGACATGGCCTCTTTCTGAGAGCTGGGGACAGAGATGGATAAGCCTCAGCACTCCATTTGGGCTGCAGAGTGCTACAGGCCTTGGGGCTTTTTACTTGCTTGATTCCTTTAACTTGAGAATGGTAACACCAAGAGACTTGGTTTAAAATGAGATAGCTTTGCACTTTATGGCTCTCTAAACATTTTCCCCACATAGTTTCATGGGACAGTACCACAGCCTTGAGAAGGCAGTACGGTACTATAATCTGAATCTGACAGGAATTGAAATTAAGACTCTTGGAAGCGACGCCATCAGCAGAGTAGCAGAAAAGACAAATTTGGAGTCCAGTCTCCCAGGCTGATCTTCCAAGACCACAGAGGTTATTAAGTTAGGATTTTATCCCACATTCCCCAGAAGATATGGTTCTCTGATATCATTTCACTCATATGTCCTTGCAGTTTTCATGTAACCTGAAAATCATGACTAAGTTGTCAATTACTAACAGTAATAATGATTGTAATTACTACATATATTTATTAACTAAGTGGTTATTTAGTGCCTATAATTGCCAGGCATTGTTTTAAGCACATTTAACATATTTTAATTTACCTGATGCTCACAACAATGCTGTAAAGTAGGTGCTGTTATTAGCTCTGAAAAACACCGAGAAACAGCACCAAAGTGACTTGACCAAGGCCACACTGCTTGATCAGTTAAGCAAACTCTGAGTCCAGAGTACACAGCACCCTCATACACATCTGCAAGGGCATCTTTAGGTCTCATCCAGGTTGTGGTCTATAACTCCTCTAGAGGGACAGAGCCACCTGGCTTTGGACTAAAGACTCCCCTGGATTTTAACAAACATACAGGTCTTTCAATACACTTCCCCTGAGGGTCCCCTGAGCATCAAGTGGTGAAGAGAGGTGTGGATCCTCAACTCTGAGAAGTGTATTTTAGAAATGTGAAAAATTTCCTCAGCAGGCCAGAATTCAAGCCCTCAGCCTTCTAGGCTGACTCTGAGAGCCGAGGAAGTAATCTCCTTGTTTGTCCATCAGTTGGAAGGTCTGGGTGAGGACAAAGTGCAGCTTCTTAGAACTGGGAGTCCATGACCTGACCTTGGTCTAAAGTGGTATGTGCTTGAGAATTTGGGTGATAGCTTGGAAAGGAAACTCTTCCCACGGACCCCTCACCCCAGCTTGGGTGCAACTGGTGTCCCTTTACTTTATTAAACCTGTTTACTTAGTGCTGAAAAACCAAATAACATTGAGTCAAGTCATTGGTCCCTCGCCCAGAACCTGTTTAATCAGATTCCTTTCAAAAAAGGAAAAAATAATGAATGTTTTTTTCTTTTCCTTTTGTTTTTGCTAAGATGATTCTCACTGAATTGTAGGCCAGAGAAGTGGAATCTAGAAATCAGAAATCACAAATGAAACTAGAAAACAAGAGTAGTTGTAGGTGGTCCCTGTTGCTGGCTCCATCAGAGGACCCAGGGAGAGTTCCCCCACACAGCTGCTTACTCCTGTTTGCCATGAGATGATGAAGTTGGTGAAAATGAGCCCAAGGCCTCTGTTGAATGGAAGCTGCTCCCTGCACCCAGGCCTTCGGACCCTTTTTGTTCATCATTTCAAACCTTCCTGCTTTCACTACCTTTTTATTTTTTAAAGGGGATGGAACCTAGGGCCTTGCTCATCCTAGGCAAGGGCTCTACCACTGAGTTCCATTTCTAGCTCTTTCACTACTTTTCCTAGATTATCTAGGTATTTAACATTCTTCCACCTGCCTCCAGGCTCCTGTCTATTGCTAGAGATGAAAAAGCCTTGGGCAGTGAGGCTTGTGTGGGTGTAGTAAGGCAGAAGCAGACCAGTCTGCCATAGCCAGTGCATCTTGGGTAGAGGCACATCAGGTTTTTCTTGTCTCTGGGGTACATATTTTTGCACCTGCTATGAATTAGTAAAATATGTAAACTTACTTAACATGAGATCCTTGTTGGATTGTGTAGACCATGTGGCTCACTGCTGTTTCTGCTGTTTGGCTACTAGAAGAGTGGCTGCTGGGGCCTGATGGCCAGTCCTAGGAGCACCCAGTATCAAGTGCCTTGAGATTTTACTCAGAAGTACTACTGGTCAGGCATAGTTGGGATACCCCCCATCTTGTGTCTCTCAGAGAGCAGGGACAGTAGCCCAGAGTTAGTGTTCCCTTGCTCCTTCCTAGTGTCTTGTTTCTATAAATTGTGTCCCAGTGCAGTGGTGACAATAGCCCGAACATCACCGTCTCCAAAGGACCCTCACAGTTCTTGGAACCAGCTGATATCTACCACAGTCCCTGGGAGTTGAGGGAAATAGGTAGAGGGTAGAAGGAACCCCAAATCATCCTCTGAGAAAGCCTTGGCCCACAGATTTAGACCAGGATTAAGGAGAGGAGCTTATGAGGATCAGATGTCTGAACTGCAGATTATTTTATCTCTGTATGATCTCTACCAGCTCCTGTCCCTTAATCAAAAATTTAGGGCATATGCTTGCCACGTGCTTGTCAGAAAGTAAAGCCTGGATCCTTCTTTCAAAGGCCACACAGTGCCAATAGATGTGTGCATACCTAGAATTGTATCCTTGCTGCTAGAACCTTGGGATGCACATGCCTGGTACACATTGCTTTACCTTTCAGAATTATTGTAATTGAATGACATTTTTTTGTTGTGAAGGCTTTAAGCAACACTGAAAGACAACATACAAAAGAGGCCAAATAAGTCAGGACTGCCTGATTGATGACAATGTCACTGAGACATCTAGGAAAACCTCCTTTTAGATTTTATCAGTAGTAGTAGTCGTATTTCTGCCAAGTAACTGGTAGTTTCCAACTTCTGGCTTGTGAAAATCATAAAATTGGTTATTCCCTCTTTTCACCAGCTGCTTGGAAGAATAGAGCTAGCCTCCATGAAAGTCCTCAGAATTCTGATATAAATTTGTCATGTTAACTTTGCCCATAGCTTCACCTTGCTTTTATTTTACCTATTTTCTTTCCTTCTTAAACCTTCCTGTAGTCTTCCCATCTCTGTCAGCTTCCTCATATATGTTGAAATAAAACAGGGATATCAGGAACTGTTGGTGTGACATGAAGGTACACATCTAACAGGAGTAGGATATGTGCACCAGTTGCTCAGGCCTTTCACTGACCTCACCCCGCTCTTTGTACACAAGTGACATCTGCAGTATAGCTGAAGAATTCAGGAAGAAGCTGAGCTCTCTCTTCCCAGAGACCAATCTGACTTCCTTAAGCAGATATTTATTGAGTCCCTGCACACCAAACCCTACACTGGGTAAGGGGTGTGGAGATGAGGTTCCAGGCCTCTTCGTCTTACGGGTTGATTCTGACCTAGTTCCAACGTCCTAGCCCATTCAGATTTTGATTTGTTTTCAGTTGGAGTCCTCTTCAGAAGGTTTGAAAGAGATAGTGTACAACAAATATTCCATGAAGACCACAAAGGGCCCAAAGAGAAGAAATACTTAATCTGTTGTATGCAGACCTCTGACATGATTTTTTTGCAGAAAGAGGAATAGGTATAGAACTCCACTCTGAGCAGATGTGACCAACAGGGGGAGCCTAATATCTTTAAAGCATAGGAAGAGAAGAGTCTTACTTTTCTCACTGATGAGATAAAATACAAAAGTTAAAGGAGGAAAGGATTGTTTGGCTCACAGTGTGCAGAGATTTCAGTCTAGTCAGTTGGCTCCAAGGCAAAAGTGACATGGCAGAGGGCATCACAGAGGACAAACAGTCCATGGCAAGCAGGCAGGTAAGAGCACGTTAGCCCTCTTTTTGTCCCTTACATTTTTTTATGCAGGCTACATCCCTTGGGATGGGTGTAACACTCACACCCTTAATCCTAGACAGAACCGTGTCAAACCAATCATCAGAATGACTTAGTAATTGTACAACCTTGATCCTAGCACCACACACTCTAGATCCAGACACCTCTGAAAAGCTCCCCTTATGACTGCATGAGGCATAGGGGGACATCTAGTCACAAGCCATAACAAGTAGAATCACAGCGGAACCTGTTGATACTGGAATCCCAGACAAGATTTGGCCTCAGTGATATTAAGGCAGATGTTTCAAATCCAGAAGCCCTGCCAGTACTTTTTACCTCATGGCAGGAGGCCAGATTATAACAGGAGCTTGGAAATTCTGGGTGAAAAAGAACCAACAACGCACAGCTAACAAGCACAAAGTGCGAGGAGCTATTAAAGTCTAACTGTGTAGACCTCACCTTTGGGAAGTGACATGGGTCAGGAACCCAGAGCCTTCCCCACCAATCTTCACTGCAGAGCCTAACCAGGCAATGTGAGGTCTTGGAAATACCATTAACTTATTGAGAAGCCAGCTCAAACCAGCCATTGTGACAACCCAAGGATGAAATGAGTATTGCAAACTCTACACCCATTGCTATTTGCAGCTGTATTTGAGGACACTCTTCTGATTTGAAAGTGAATGGAATCATATTCCATTTCACATATAACTACAGTAGACAGTGGCACTTCCTTTCCAAGCAGCTCTGCTTGACCATAGGACTCAATCCTTTCACTCTGCAGAGGCGACAGCCAAAGGACATGGGTCTGCAAGCTCAGGAGGGCTGCTTTGTTAGTCCTCCTTGGGAGACATATGTTTCTCATGACTGGCAGAACTTGGCCTAAACAGCCCCTTCTGTGTTGGTGCTACAAACCCAAATCTATAAATGAAGCAGTGACCAAAATGAAGCAATGATCATCAAAAGCATGATCTGTATATACAAGATGACATCCCTTACTCCACGAGAGCATTCTATGTAAATGTCACTAGTCTCCAGCTCTTTCTGTGTGCTTCTTCTCAACAGCTACCAGATCATGTTGGACTGCTGGCACAAAGATCCAAAAGAAAGACCACGATTTGTGGAACTTGTGGAAAAACTAGGCGATTTGCTTCAAGCAAATGTACAACAGGTAAAACTGAATTTATCTAGAATATCAGAATGGGCTGGGATTTAGCTCAGTGGTTCCACTGCCTGCCTTGCAAACACAAGGTCCTGATCTCAAACCCTGGTACCAAAAAAAAAAAAAAGATAGAACATCAGAAGGCCACATGCCTTTGAATGTAAGTCAAGGGGGTTCATTAGTTGTTTTAGAGCTACTAGTAGGTAAGATGACCAATAAAAAGTGTGTGTGTGTGTGTGTGTGTGTGTGTGTGTGCAGAATTTACCTTCACAAGACACAAGCATGTTTGGGCAAATGACAAATGAAGCTGATATTATGCTGCACAGAAACTGAAATCATAATTTGTATAATTAGGGACTCTATCTTTGGTATTTTAGGATGGTAAAGACTATATCCCACTGAATGCCATACTGACAGGAAATAGTGGGTTTACATACTCAACTCCTGCCTTCTCTGAGGACTTTTTCAAGGATGGTATTTCAGCTCCAAAGTTTAATTCAGGAAGCTCTGATGATGTCAGGTAAGATTTCTTTTCCCATCTGTCTATTATAGATTGTTAAAACACACACACACACACACACATACATACATAAGGAGGGAGGTACAAAGGGGGAGGGGAAGAGGGGGAGAGATAGGAGGGGGGAGGGAGACAGGAAGGGAGGAAGGGAAGAAGAAAAACAAAAAGAAAACAGAATCGGGTAATGATCACCCATATGCTGACCTCCTAAATTCAACCACTGTTAACATTTTGCCATATTTTGTCTGTATATTCTATATTTTTGTGGGGGTAGTTTTTCTTTTCTCTGAACCATTTTAAAGAAAGCTTACTGAATTCTAACATTTTACCTCTAAAAACTTTGGTGTGTACCTCATAAGAAGTTTATTTGCAGGACTGGGGAATTTAGCTTAGTGGTTCCACTGCCTGCTTTGCAAGCACAAGGACCAGAGTTTGATCCCTGGTACCAAAAAGAAGAAGAAGTTTATTTTCCTGTGTAACACCACCAAAAACTACCACATCAAAGAAATTTCTTACTATCAACTCATATTCAAATTTTCATGATTTCCCTTAAATGTATTTTATACAATTCTTTTTTAAAAAGCAGAATCCAATCAAGAATAACACATTTTCTTAAGTTTCTTTAGTCTTTTTGTTTTGTTTTTTTGGTACCAGGGATCGAACTTGGGACCTTGCGCTTGAGAAGCAGGTGGCGGAACCACTGAACTAAATCCCCAGCACTCTTTAGTCTTCTTCCAGAATTATCTCCTTCTCTTTGATTAAACCTTAGATAAAGCGAAACAAACTTCCTCCTCCCACCTAACGAACTAACACATCTTCGTCATCACAAAGGAAAATAGAGAAAGGGCAAAGGAAGAAATATTTATTGAGGACCTCAAGGAGCTAGAGATCTGCACTTCGGTCTTCATAGTTACACATGTATTAAACATGTGCAGTCTTCATATTACACAGACACATGTTGTGGTCTGGCACTGTGCTAGGCTGTCTGCATATATCAACTGCTTTTATGCTCGGAACAATCCTATGGAGTACATATTATTTTGTTATGTAAATGCAGATATTAGCCTCCAAAAAGGAAAACTCACCCAAATTGTGTGGCCAGAAAAGGGCAGAATAGTTTTTAACCCTGGAAGTGCCAACCCTCCCTCCTAGATCCCCACGCAATCCAGTCCCCTTTCAGGACATTAGACTATCCTGTGTGCCATCCAGCTTCTTTATCAGCAGCCCTTGGGCAATGACATCAGTTCTGCCACCAGGAGCACAGGGAACAGCTGCAACGGGCAGGACACGTTGATAGCTGTCCATGACAGTCAGCCCAGACTTGTGTCATTGATCATACCTCACACCCAGCCAGCTCAGGAGGCCAAAGCAGATACATGACTCATCCATTTTTTTAAAGACGAGAAAACTAGCTTAAATACATTAGCAAGATCTGAGTTAGAGATGAGGGAGAGGAGCAGATGTCAAAGTAATTTGCACCCTTCCTAAATGCTGCTTAGACTTGGGTCCACTGAGGCACTTAAGAAGTTGGGCTTTGTAGAAGTTGACAGACTATCAGACGAAGGAGTTCTATCAAAAGGTACTGGTCTTGCCTGTGAGTAATCAGCCAGTGGATATCCTTGATGGTCTCCCCTGACAGGTCATCAACACAGATCAGCAAGTGGTTAATAAAAGAATTCATGCAGCTAGTACATGTTTCTCCCAATCTGTATTCACACTACAGAATATACAAGACTGACCCTAGCACTTAAACCAGCTGTACAACCCTGACAGATCATTTTGTTACCCTACACTCTTTCAGGAAGTAATTAGCTGTAAATTCATATCACATCCATGGGCCTCATTTCTCTCCTTTGTTTCATAAAATATTCAGGCCAGATAATGCTTCAGGTCTCTTGTAGGCCTAGAGTTTTCTGATTTCACAATGGCTCAGAGTAGATTTTTTTAGGGGGTGGTGGTTGTTGAAAATCATAGACTGAAGTGACAACCATGTGAGGATTTCCTGGGGGTGCAGTGGAAAATATGAGCCATAGGAACAACTGTTTTGGTTCATCTTAGCCGAGATTCAGTATATATGGTCCCTTAACTAACCAAAGCTATATCCCTTTTCCTGTCTCATTCTTTTTGCTTCTTCATTAGATATGTAAATGCTTTCAAATTCATGAGCCTGGAAAGAATCAAAACCTTTGAAGAACTTTCACCAAATACCACCTCCATGTTTGATGTAAGTCATGACATTAAACTACTCAGCACACCCTGGGGTAGAACACTTTTCCTGACTCCATTCAAACACCAACTCCAGGAGCTCTTGGTCAGTGAGGGCCATTAATAGGTAGTAATAATGTGAGGGGGCCTGACAACCAGACTTAGTCATGTAAAGCTCATTGGAAAGCAGAATTCCACTGCTTGAAGATGGCCCAGAATTACTTCAGAGCCTAAATCCTTACCTGTGGGAATTCAAGTTTCTAAGAAACTTCACTGTATAGTTTCTGAGCTTCTTGGCTGTGGGTGATGCATCCTTGCTTTCCAAGTAGTAGAAGAACTCCTCATGTGTGAGTGGCTGGCCTCTTGGTATAACAAAGGCCTTGTAATACAGCAACCTTGAGTCATAAGTCCACCTAGGTCCTAGGCCCTTTCCCCTTGAAGTTCTGCATGCTGAACATCTGTGTTCTTGCTCAGACACACTGGGAGAGAGAAACCAGCAAATCTTGACAAACATGAGATTTCTACATGAGCTCTTCTCTTTAAAGCTTTAGATGTAGGGTTGAGAGAATAAGTGGAGAAGGCGGCTGGGCAGGAGATCACTTTAGGTAGGGCAGACTGTGGTACTCGAAGTGTGATTTCCAGAAAAGCATGGTACCATGACACAGGAATAGGCCATAAACACTGGCCCTCATGACCCACAACCACCAAGTCAGTTACCACCTTTATTAAAGGTGAAGAAGTGCTGGTGACAACCATGTCACAGAAATGACCTAGAGGATCAACTCTAATGTGAAGGTGATCACCACAATTGGTATGGCCTCGAAACAAGCAAGGTGAACTTTAAAAACCAATAGAATCTTCTCACAGATACACCAGTCAGAAGGATATGATGATTTAAATACATTTAAGTTTTAAGCTGCAGAATACAGAAATAAAGTAGAAATTTTGTTTTGCTGCTTGATACATTGATTCAAGTCTAAGGAAACAATACTAACACAGGATATCTCAGCCTTAACAGTAAGCTAATACAGTGATGAATTATGACAGCTTTCTCATTTTTTAAGATATTTGCTAATAGTTAAAGATGTGAACACAGCCCAGTAAGAGCCTCCAAGGGACCCAGCAGGAACCAAGTATGGAATCAACTTACAGGAAAATGCTGTATTTACAGAGTAACAAAAACTTTGCATAAAACTCAGTGGTAAAGATAACTAATGAAGACATGTAAGTGCTGGAAAATATGACCGAGGAGGGCCTGAAAATACCACAGAATCTTCAAGAACAAGAAAAGAATCATGTCTTAATTTCCCACGATTTTTATATATTTTGGCTACCAAATGACAACATATCCATTAGCCAATTATCATCTGCCAAAATTAGTTTTAACACAGCTATGCAATAACTTGCATAAAAGTTTCCTATTATAAGTGCTGTTACCTGAAATTATCTGTTTAAATTTACTTAGCCTTCAGGAAGAGCCTCAGAGTCACCAGAAATAAGCATTACTTGTAACTGACCAAGTCTGTAGCTCCAGTGTGAAGAAAATGCTGTCTGCAGGCAGGCAATGTGGAGTGGGAGGCAGTGCCTGGAATAACCTCAGATGCACATCCCAGTATCTTCCCATGGACTTAGGAAAGCCCTTTTGGGCCAGGCAAGCATGTAACCTCCTCCTCCTTCTCCACCAGGATTATCAGTTGGACAGCAGCACTCTGTTGGCCTCCCCCTTGCTGAAGCGCTTCACCTGGACTGCGAGCAAACCCAAGTCCTCGCTAAAGATTGAGTAAGCAAGCTGGCATCTTTTCTACCATCAGTTGATGGGGCTGGTGAAGGAAAATGTGGGGGAAGATGGTTTAATGGAGATATGTGAGAACTACTTGCCCTTCTATACTATGGTATTCACACATTGCAGAAAAGTACATTTTCCCACAAGAGCATGAAAAGAGGGCATAAGATTAGACAAATGAACACTAGGCTCTGCAGTCTGAGAGGTGAAAAACTGCAGAAAATTGTTGCAAAAACAGGCAGTTCATACACAAGCATAAGGCCTCAGTGGAAAGAACCCTGAGAGGCCCACCTTAGAGGGTGCAAGTGGAGACATGCTCATGGGAACTTGAGACAGTGTTCTCATCATTGTGCCCTGGGCCTTCAGGTTTTATATTTCCAGGGCTTCGAGTACTATCAGGCCTAAAACATGCCACCCCAAGAATTCAGCCCTTCCAAATGAAGGACTACTTCCTGTTGATTGCATTCACTTTTCTCATTTGAAGATTTCTTTACAAACCCGTTTTAATCAGCTAAATCCTCCTCCATTGTGTTCAATATTGTCAGTCACTTGGGTCCTTTTTTATACTCCACTGGCTTCTGCTTCTCTTTGCTGATCTCTACCTAAGAGTAACGCCAGATTTGCGAAACACTGGGCCTATCAGATGTTTCTTCCCTTGCTGGCTCAAGTGCCTGCCTCTATCATCCAAAGGTAGACCTTCTCCTGTCATTTATATCAGGGATTTTCCCACTTCTCAAAGGTGAGATAGTAAGAATCTGTTCATCTCTACCATTATAGTGTAAACACAGTCATAGATAATATATAAGTAAGCAAGCATGGCCATGTTTCTCTAAGCCTTAATAAGTACATGGCCAACAAGTACATGAAAAGATGCTCAACATCATTAATTATCAGGGTAATGCAAATCAAAACCATCATGAAATACCACCTCACACCCTCAAGGACAAATAGAATAAAAAAGTGTCGGTGAGCATGTGAAGAAATTGGATCCTTTACACATTGCTGTTAGAAATATAAAATGGTGTGGTCACTTTGGAGAGCACATTAACAGTTGCTCAAAAGTTCAACCAGTTATCCAGTAACCTAGTAGGAATTCCATTTCTAAGTGTATGTCCAGGAGAAGTGAAAAACTTATGTTCACACAAAAATTGGCATACAATTATTCATGAGTACTGTTCCTAATAGCCAAAAGTGGAAACATCCCAGATGCCCATCAGGTGATGAAGGATAAATAAAATGGGGTATATTTGTACAATAAAATAGTATTTGTCAGTAAGAAGTATGAAGTACCGATATATACTGTAACATGTAGCCTTGAGAATATTATGCTAAGTAAAAGACATCCATGAAATATTATATATTATACAATTCCTTCTACATGAAATGCCCAGAATAGGCAAATCAGAGAGATATTGGTTGCGGTGGGCTGGGGTCATAAGTGAGAAGAGACTGCTTATAGGTATGGTATTAAATATTTCAAAATTGTGGTAATTATTACAGTTTATATATGTACTTTTAAATTTCAGATTCACATAACTATAATGAAATATCTCAGATAATGAACTTACAAAGAAAAGGGTATTTTGGGCTCACAGCTTTAGAAATTTTAGTCCAAGACGGTGAAGACCCATTTGCTTTGGGGCTCTCACACGAGTGTCAGATGACAATGGTGGGGAGCATATGATGGAACTCACGGCCAGGAAATAAAGATGAAGACATGCAAGTCCTGCATTCCTCATTGAAGGCACACACTCTGTGACCTAAGGAACTCCATTAGGCCCTACCTCCTCAAATCTTCTCCCAGCAGTGCTAGCCTGGGGACCAGGCCTTTAAACATGGGCCTCTGGAGTCAAGGAACACAAAAACTACAGCAATACTAAAAACCACTAACCTGTACACTTTAAATAGATGAATTGTGTAGTGTGTAAATTATATCTAAAACAACTCTTACTAAAGAAGACAGATGGTCTGCCTCTGGGCTGCAGTTTGTTGAACTGTGATCTACATCAAAGGATGGCACACCTTCACGTAACATACTCAATGTAATTTATCAGGTCAATTTACATGATTGTTTACTTTTAACACAAACACAAGAATGGTACAACAGTTGAGACAGAGTAGATCAGAGAATACCAATGAGGAACAGATAATAAGAAAAAGTAGGATGATTCCTTTTTCTTATTTTAGAACCCATCAGAAAATGGGTGACTTTTTTCTTGATCTCTGTGAAGCAAAGAAAACTATAAATTGTATGCTGAGACTAGACCCATCTAATTAATGTAGTTCACAAGGTTCTCTCCCAGCCTCTTTTAAACAAATTCAAATAAATACTAAAGAGCATGAGGAACTTTTCTTCCTCATGTGTCTGAGGGTGTATCTATAACCCACCCTTAAGCCTCACTGGTAAATATTGGTAAAATATAGTCCTGTAATTTAAAAAGCTTTCCTTCTAGAACACAAGAGTGCTAGGGAGACAGTGGAATTAACCATTTTTTTGTGTGTGAAGCTCTTAGCTTCTTGAGACTGTTGTAACAAATTACCACAAACGTGATGACTTTTTTAAAAAAGAGAAGAATTTATACTCTCAAATTTCTGGAGGTGAGAAATCTAAAATCAAGGTGTCAATAGGTTCTTGTTCCCTCCAGTGCTTGTGAGCAGGAATCCGTTCCTTGCCTGCTCCAGCTCTGATAGCTCTGGGCATTCCTTGATAGTGGCTGCATCTTAGCTCCATTTCACATGGCCACCTCTGCTGGCATGTGGTCCAATCCTCCCTCTGCCTCTCATGATTGTATTTGGCACACACTTGGATATTCAGCATAAGCTCCTCCTCTCCAGATCGTATCTTTTGCCATATAAGGTAATATTCACAGGTTTCTGGGATCTGACATGGATATTTGGTGGGGAGGGGGCAGGGGGCATTTTTTAACTGACATACAAGCACTATCTATCAGAATCAAGAGTAGGAGGAGGCTATATACAAGTCTTGGAGTTGTTTTCCACCCAGAATTATAGGTCTGTATTACCTAATCACACATTCCACCCCCAACCACTGGCATACCTCTATCTGCCCAGTGACACCCAGCTGGTATGAGGCAGGCAGTGTACAATTTTAAAACAAAGACAATGTGAGATAAGGCTCCCTAACCATTAAACTAGGACAGATACTGACAAATGACCTGGTAAGAGAATGAGTTTTAGTGTGTGCTTTTGGAAAACCTGTTCTGTACATCTGATTGTTTTTCTTTTCTCTCTTCAGCTTGCGCATAGCCAGTAAAAGTAAAGAGTCGGGGCTTTCTGATGCCATCAGGCCCAGTTTCTGCTTTTCGAGCTGTGGCCACATCAGATCTGTGCATGACAACTTGGAGCTGGGAAAGGAGGATTCATGCTGCTCTCCGCCCCCAGACTATAACTCAGTGGTCTTATACTCCACCCCACCTGCCTAAGGGTCAACACAAGCCTTATTTCCAGAAGTACATGTGTATTTACATCCCCAGAAAACTAGCTTTTGACAGTATTATGCATATATGAGTTTACACCTTAATCTTTGCAGGGAGCAGAGGCAGCTGCTTTTTGTGACTTAATTTTAATACTGCTTTTTTTTTTTTTTGACTAACAAGAATGTAACCCCAGATAAATAGAGAAATACTGACAAGTCAAGAACACTACTGCTCAATTCTCATATTACTCACTGTATTAAAAAAACCCTTTGCAAGCCCAATGACTCACCTGCTCCAGCCCCAGAGGCCTCTGAGCACATAGGTCAGGAGAACTCAAGAGATCAGTTGGTCATGTCCAGTAACCCTGAAACTGGGGCAACAAGGGATCCCTTTAGCTCGAGGGATCATGTGCTCGCCTAGGCAGTGTTTCTGCAATCCTCCGGCCAGCCCAACACATCCAAGGCGGGAGAGCAAGAAAGGAGAGGGAAAACCAGATGGCCAGAGAAACACTGAGATGCCTTATGTGGGTTGGGCTGGGGGAGGGCTCTGCAGTGCCATGGCTACAGTTTCCCAGCCCTGACCATCACTGGGCTTCCAAGCTCCCAACTGGGAGCATTCAAGGTAGAGAGGAGAGGACATTTCCTGGAACCTGGAAGGTAAGGAAAGGACAAACACTTTTTGGAACTTAAGCAAATCCTCCAAGTTTCCCTGTGGGATTGGTTCTGTACCATTCCTGCACAATGTGTGCTTTGATTGACTGCACTGAGGGTGGTGCTCACCTCTCAGCCCACAGTGCTGGCTCCTCCAGCCAAACAGTGAAAACTTATCTCGAGCCAGGCTGGCTATGGGCATGAAGGCATGACACTTAGCAAGCTGCTAAGAAGCTAAGACCTACTGGTCGATTAGGGCTGTCTACTATTGGGCTCAAAGTCACAATTTTTAAAATGTCAGATTCTATAATAAGTATTAATGTATAAACAAGACACTTAACTTTTTGTACTATCCTGTTTTGTACAGTTAGCTAGAAAAGGAAGCCAAGGAGAGTGAAAATGCAGTCTTGTAGAGGCTTTTTCCTGTACCAAAATGAGGATCGATGGAACAAAACCAATAGAGTGAAAATTCCACCTGCACAGCCAAATCAACTCACCCAAAGAGTTGGGACCTGAAGCAGAGGAAGTCAGTCATATTTCCTTTTTATTTAATGGGGATTCCAATGTCTCATGCTAATCTGGAAGAGCATTAGTATCTATTAAGCACTTTATGCTCCTCAATTTTAAAAAAGGGTGATATAGAACAGACAAAAGGTATTTCTACATTTGGGGACTCAAGATACTAGTTATGAGCCATCAGAACAAGAACCTATTTTCATCTGCTTTGGATCTTGCCTTGGGTCTGAAGATTATCAGACTAGGGAGACAGGGTAGAAACAGAGAGACAGGGTAGAAAAGGGTGCCTACACTTCAGCCACTGCTAGATGCTATTGCTGTAAGTTCTGGTCTGTGTATTTAGGACATATGGACCCACTGAAGCCAGTCCAAAGCAGACAGGCAACAGTGAATCGGTGCTTCTGGGAAAGAAGAGCATCTTCCCTCAGAATGCATGTCACTTAAATCTGGAACCTGAATTCTATATGCAAGAACAATGTATGCTTCCTTTTTTGGGGGCCTCATTTTTGTTTAAGGTTCTTTGTATGAAGAAATGGGAGAGTGAGCACCTTGCCCAGTGAGACAGTAGGCATTACTACATGGTGTCTCTTGGGGACTCACCAGCCCGAACAGAGGAGGCAGGTTTCTCCACCAAGCACTAACTCCAAACAAAACTGGGTAGGGCCAGAAGAGTAAAAACAAAACAAAACAAAATATTGCTCATTTTCTTTCCAAGAATAAAAGTTCCTGTGACAAATGGCAATTGTATAAATCAGGTAACTTTTAGACATAAGTTAAACAGGAAATAAAAGAAGGCCCCAATTAATTATCTACCTTTTTTCAAATCAGGTAAGGATCCAGCAGTGACCAAAGGAAACCCTCAGCTACCTACATTTTAATAATCTGATATTAATAATCTAATTAAGTGACCTTAATAAATACCCATTTCCAAAAGAGGGGGGGTCTATTCAGATTCTCTTACTCAGTTTAAGATTCAGGCTTATAGCCTACATAAGTCCATCTGAAAAAAAGAAAGGGGGTTCCCACTGGAATGGAAGCTTGCCGTACTGAATATATTTAATTGCAGAGGCATTAAAATAGCACTGAAAATTAAAACACTAACTGATGGTAATATTAGAACTTGCCATTTGTGAGAAAAATGGTTGGCACTAATAGAACAGACACTTCCTTCTGGGATTTGAGAGATAATCTATGTGTAACTATGTGAAAGGACTGGGACTGAAACATTATTACAAATCTATATGTAGTTAGCTCAAGAAATGATGCTCAGAAATTCGTTTTAGCCACGGGGACAAATGTATTCAAATCCTGAAAAATACGGCTCATATGTCTGAGCTGTGCCATGTTTCCTAGCCCATAAGAATGTCAAACATGAAACAGATTCTTGTGGCCTTGTCTAAATTGATTAAAGGAGTGCATTTCTGATTGAGTGTTAGGAACTACATGTATATGTTTATGTGTTCGTATGTGTGTTGTGGATAACTATTTAAGGAACTGGAATTTAAAAGTTACTTTTATATAAATCAAGAATATATGCTACAGATATAAGTAAGACATGATGTGGTCATATACTCCTAGTCATGATGAATGTATTTTGTATACTATCTTCATATATTAAAATTAACTTCCAAAAACATCACATATTTTCTCCTTGATTTAGTTTTAAGAGCAAAAAGGGGTCACAAAAGTCTTTGGGAGGGGAGAAGATGGGTGTTCTGAGAGATCCCATTAAATACCAATTATTCAGCACAACACACAAAAATGAAGCAAATACTACTAAAGGGCACAGAGCTTCCCATCACCATTACACAATGGCTACTCTAAGCAATCCAGACACTGCTAATGAAGTAAATAAAAACTATAAATAAAAAACAAAATCAAACTAGGCATATTGCCCAGAAAACCAAACACTAAAATGAGCAAGATCATGAAACAAGAATATACTGAGTGCTGGCTGCAGATCAAAGTGCCCTCAATTAAAAAGAGGCAGCTTTCACTAAACACTAATTTTCAGCTGATAATTATAATTAGAGGGTGTGAGTATGCATGCACATGTATATTAGAGGTTATGCACTGGAAGCCATACAAAATGAAAGGAAAAAGCACAACACACAAGAACTTCCCTAAGAAAAGTGCTTCAGCTAAAGAACCTTTGCTTGGTTTTGTGAATTAGGAAGAGAAACTCAGGTAGTAACTACAATACACAGAAGTGGCCAACACCTTGATTTAGAAAGTGGCTATATTATTTTGTCTGATAACATCAAGACATAGATAGGAGAAATATGAGGGAGAAAATTGGGTCCTTTCTTGAGGTTCAAGGTGAGAAGAGGATGAATGACTAATCTCAGTAAAATTTGCATTTAACTGAAGACAGAGGCTTTTATCTTCAAAAATCTGCAATCCTTTCAAAATACTGGTTTAATAACAAAAATAAAGTCATTCATTTGGGCAAACAATGTGAAGAATGCTTGAGGAGTTAGTGTCATATCATACTTTAGAAGTTTTCTTATGACTCTGGAAACTTACAGTACCTTTGGGGAATCCTTTATTTTTTTTCCCCCTCCAGCAAATGGGCAGCATAGTAAGGTTTACTGGACTCCTCTGTGTTAAACACATTACCAGATTTCTGTGTTTCACAGGACAGGAAATGCTGAAAAACTACCTAGGGTCCCAATACAGGAATGGCCAGCTTTCTATTTTGTGAACTAAGAACACTGCAGGAAGAAAAAAAAGAAAGGAATGAACTCAAATATCCAACGAGTTACTAAGCTTTCTATTCCTCTTCTGGATGATGGAATACAAATGTGTTTACTGTGTGATACTTTAAGCTGTATATTTCTATGTGTGTATGTTATTGATTTGACAAAAATTATTTTTTAAAAAAACCTATCATTTACTACCACTTCTCAGAGGTAAAGACTCCATTTTAAAAGGAGGGGCTTAATCTCAGACTAATATATTACCTTCATATTTGAAATACACCTACCTATATAGCTGCTCAACTTGTGTTTCAGTTACACCCAGATAACCTATCACAGATTAAAACTAAGTCAAAATGTATTTAAGCCACCTAACTTACCAAACATCCTAGTTTGGCAGCATAGCACATGCAGTGTCACCTACTTCTCCTTGTGATTGTAGGGCTAGGTGGGAACTGCGATACCGTGGCCCAGCATCTTGAGATTGGATTGGATAGCACTAGCCCAGGAAAAGATGCAAATTCAATCAAGTATGGTTTCTACTAAATGTTGCTTTTGCACCATCACATAGTTGAAAAACAGTAAGTCAAATCACTGGTAGTCAGGAATTGTATTATCCCTTTAGTTTTCTTTTTAAAATTTGTGCCCCCCAAAAAGGAAAATTAATGAACAAATGCTATTCCATATATTGGAACTTAGGAACCCATGATAGCTAGTAATTGCTATCATTTGGGTGCTTAATACATGACACTGGCTATTCTGAGTTCTTTAGCAGAATAATCTCATTTAATCTTGGGTGCTTAATACATGACACTGGCTATTCTGAGTTCTTTAGCAGAATAATCTCATTTAATCTCAAAAGCAATCTAACAGGGTATGTACTAGCATCATACCCTTCACTTACATGGGGAAATGAATCAAGAGAACTCCAAAATTCTACTCTCAAATCTCCCATTGCCCAGAATGTGTGTTCATATGCTTGCTTCCCTTAATAGTCAACCCAAAACAAAAATGTTAGTGTACTCAGTCCCTTCCTTTCACTAACTCAGATGCTATTCCAGCAATTCACCACACTTCTACCTCCATCTATTTCCTCATCCACTTGTCATAGTTTGGATCTAGAATGGCCTTCAAATGCTTGTGTGCTGAAGGAAGGCCTATCCCCAGCTGGAGATGCTATTGGGAGGTGATGGAAAACTTGGGGTGGGGTCTAATTTGAACCAATGTATCATCAGGGGTATGCCTTTTGGAAAGCATGTTTTGCCCTGGGTCCTTCCTCTTTGCTTGCCAACTACCACGAAATAAGCGTGACCTCTGCTATGACATTCTTCCTTTACCTCAGGCACACAGCAATGGAGCCAGCCAGCCAAGGTTGAAACTTCTGAAACCATGATCCAAAATAAACCCTTTTTCCTTTAGATTGCTTGTCTCAAGTATTTTGTCACAGTGACGAAAAGCTAACACTCCAGTGGACCATAAAAATAAGTTGTTATTTCTCCTACCTTATGAAACAAAAATTTCATCCCTTTCTCCTTCAGCTACCATCTTCTCTATTCCTCCTTAACAAAATTCCTTGAATGCATTGGCCATACGACTTATTTCCCACTCCCCTCCTCTGCTCTTAAAGCCTCTCAACCTTGCAATCCAATGTGACTGGCATGCGAACACACTGAGACTGTT